CGTGTTTAAATACTAACTAATGTGAAAGATTCAGAAGAAAGAGAGAATGAAGATACCTGAAAATAAGGAGATAAAGGATGGAGAAAAGTACCTGGAAAGGTGGGAGTCTTGGAGAGGAGAGGGGGTGATGCTGGTGCAGCTGTGTAACAGGGTGCAGCCAAGAGGGGGACCCCAAATAGAGATTTGAAATGGGGTCCAGAACTCAAGGTGTCCAGGAAATATTAGGATGTCCTCACCCCTTCCCCTTCAGGTGTGAGTTGGGGGGAGGGATACATGGAACAGGGCCATTGAGAGCTGTTTTGTATAGCAACAGCTTTGCAGCTAACCTCTGGTGTGGTTGTTTAACATATCTATAACCTTTAACTGGTTGCATAGATATGTTAAATAACTGTGCCCATGCTCTGAGCCAGGGTAATGGAAGTAACTTCCCCACCAAGACATAATAGGGTGCAGGTCCCCTGAGTTACAGGGCCTGCGTGAGAGAGGGGAGAATCACTTGGTCTCTAGCAGAGTGGGGACTCCTGCAGCCCTGTGTGAGAGAATCACCTTGCAGCTTTAGCATAGAACTGCCACTCAGCTTTGGCAGAGCGGCGACCCCTGTCCTCGCAGCCACTGAGGGGAGAACCATGAGGTTTTGGCAGAGTGGAGAGAGAACCACATGGTTTTGGCTGAGTGGAGACACCCACAGTTTTTCAGAGAGGACCACTCAGCTGGGGCAGTGGAGAGAGAACCTCGAGGCTTTGCCAGAGTGGGGACCCCCGCAGCTTTAGAAGGGGGAACCACCACTTGGCTTTAGCTAGAGATCCCAGTAACACAGCTGATGGTGCCAGGATCTGAGGGAGGCCTCAGTAATCCAGACATGGATTACTGAGAACTGGGGGCTGCCTGAGCCACGGGCTTCTATTTCTTTTTCTGAGATATGGTACCCCAGACTGGGTAAAGGGGGGAAGGAAGGACTGTGTATGTCTGTGGGTGTTTTAAGGGACTTTGGGATTTTGATGAAGATATTATGTTACTACTTTAAGTCTGTATAGCATTAAATAAACATTTCCTTTCCTTTTCACGAATTTCTGGCATTGAGAGATGTCTTTCCTCTGGCAGCGGACATAATGAACCTGGGGGTTCCTTTCGGGTAATAGTATATTACCCTTAGGTCCCGCCTTGTTGTTTGGTAACAGCTGCAGGTAGGCTTGTACATCTGCACCTGGGAAGCTGGAGGAGCTGCATTTGGGTACCTTCTATTTTCTCTGGGAAGTATGAGACTGGAGTATTGTCTGAGCATATGAAGGAGAGTAGCTTAAAGTTTGAAGAAAATATAGGCTATATGAAAGTCATTATGGAGATTAGGCTTAAGACCTTTTCTCATGTCAACATAATTTCTTTTTAAAGACTTTATTTAAGGGAGAGGGAGGGAGGAAGAAAGGGAGACAAACATTGGTGCGAGAGATGTCAATTGGTTGCCTCTCGCACGTCCCCAACTGGAGACCTAGCCCACAACCCAGGCATGTGTCCTGACTGGGAATTGAACCCGTGACCTTTTGGTTTGCAGGCTGGCACTCAGTCCACTGAGTCACACCAGCCAGGGCCAGAATTTTTAAATTTCCAAACATGTTCCTTTAAATGGAAATTTTGTGGAGAATAACCATCTGTTTGGAGATGAAGTATTTAGATAGATATACTGCTTGTGGCAAATGAAACCTAAAGCTATCATTTGGACAGACTGCAATTATCTGGACATGAAGAGAACCATTCTGTAAATGATATCTTCTAGAAGTTGTTGCTAAATTTCCCAAACAAAAGATGCTTTCACTCCTCTGGGCTCTCAGCCCCCTATCCTTCTCTATATTGTCCTCTGTGATAAACAGTCTTATCACCCCTTGTGCACCTTGTCCACCTGCTAAGCTCTAGGCCCATTAAAGGCAAGAGCCCATAGCTCATAGCTGAATTGCACAGTGTGCCTCTCAATAAATGTTTGCAACCTTTGAAATGGTTATATACATTAAAGAGGAAGTGTTATCTGATTTATACAAATTGTATTTATACACCTCGAGGTAGACTCTCATGTCATAAAGTGAAGTATCTTTGTAAGACAAAGGATTTCCAGAAACAGCAACATATCAATAAATGGGTGGGCCACAGCTCCACTCTGTTGTACAATTTCAAGAGAGCCTGATGTTGCCAAACAAAGGAAATTCAAGGAAATGAAACAATTCCCTCTGCCTGGTCCCATTCCTTTTAGATACAAAAGACAAGATAATTATCTAAAGTATTTCTCAGTATGAACAAAATAGAAAAGTGACCTTTGAGTCTGTGGCACAGTCAATTCATGTCAGTGTTTTTAGCAGAAGCAAGGCAATGTCCAGGCTCAGGGAATGCTCACCCACAGGAGCCAACTTTTACTCTCCCTCCTGTTACACAGACCATAAATAAAGAGAAATAGTTTAGCAGGCAGCCAGACCTGAATAGCTCAGCGTCACCCCTAGGGAGTGATAAAACTCTCCTGCTGGTAGACTTACATAAACCAAACGCAATGAATTTTTTAAGGATACATACTCCCTTTGCTCAATAAAACTGAATGCTTTCAACTTGAAAGATGGCTGGACTAAGAGGAAAAATAAATCAATCTGGCAAGAAAAAGTAATCATTCTGAGTGCTGGTAGATTAACTGAAATATATAGGAGATCAAATTCAGTGATTTAAAAATCATATGCTTGCTAGTTTAAAAAAATCTCTTAATTTTAAAAAAATTGAGGGTTTTTTTGGCTTATTTTAAAACGCAACAGATGAGCTCTATCTAGTGATCTGACTACTTAATGCTAAAATGGAAGCTTCTGTCCAATCTCTGACTTGATTACATTCAAAACAGAAGATAGAATACATTTCAAAGTCTGAGGTTTCTTACAGATTTATCTAATATTTGATGGCAATTATTACCACATAATAAGTCAATTCAGTTTGACCATTCTGATAAAACCTTAGATTATTTTTGAAAAGTGATATTTCCAATTTATTAAAGCAAAGAATCCAGCCAATAATTGCTTTATTCTATTTTTGAAAAACACAAAAACAAAGAGGACAAAATAAACAAAAAACAGGTTGGAGTGAGGAGAAAGGGGAATCAGTCTGAGAGGTCCTCTATTCTGTCTTGGTCTCTGATAACCACTGGGTTTATCAACAGCTTGCTTATACAGGAGAGCACACTTTTTATTCTAAAGAACCCTCCCTTTTGTTCCTCCAAGATATGTATGCATATTTTTAAAAATTTTTAAGTACTCACTTGAATGAAACCAAAGGAGAAGGAAGAATACGAGGGGAGTTAGGTGATTGTTTGCAGGCAAGATACTGATCGAGGGGCCAGAGGCGTTTCTGAGGGAAAGAAGGTACTAGGGTGAACCTAGAGTAGGAAAAGCACTTCTTTCAGAAACACGTTAATCTTAAATATTAATAGAAACAAAACTGAAAGTAAAATATTAATTCTATGAGAATAATTAGTCTTCAAAGCACAAAAAAGTATTATGCTGGTCAAAGTCAGGTAGATTATTTCATTTTGCAATCTCTTTAGAATTTAATGTTTCAGGGGCTTGTTTAGGGTCATACCTACAAGGTTGAGTTCATTTGGAGTTCTGAATCTCCTTCTGTGCACTGGCTCAACTTGTTTGAAGAGTTATAGTATCTATTACTGGTGAGGGGCCAGTACTGCTGAGGTGTTATTAGCTTGAAGATGGCTGCTATGCTCTTATTTATTAAAAGAAAGCAATTTCCATCAAACTTGGGAGAGTCTGATGATAGAAATGATGTCTCCCCTGGCAACCAAAGGATTCTAGGTAGCAAGCTAGCCATGGTAATTTGTTTTTATGCTGTGTGGTGCTCCAGAATGCATAATATAGGTTTATAAAGAAAAGAAGACTTTTATTAAAAAATTCCAAGTGGGAGGAACAGGAAAAGCTTTTCTTGGTATGCACGTGTTCAATGCAATCGTATATTCTAGGTTTACAGTTCCAAAACACTAGAGGGGTCCTACAAAACCATATTCTAAATAAATTACAATAACTAGTTGATCATATGTCCTGTTGTGCTGGGACAGTCCCAGTTAATGTCTATTGTCTCAGGGTAATTATTAATAGCAACCCTTTCAGTCTCCTGCATGGAATTATATGATCACCCTGTAATAACCAAGCATATAGTTATAACCCAGCCCCTTGGAGGAGTTTATCATTCTACTTGGATATTGAATTAAACTGTTTCTGCATTGTAATCACCAAAGGCAATACTAGGTTATACACATCTCACCGCTAGATAAAAGAATACATACAAGTTTGTCTATAAAGATATGTTTATTCCAACCTCCAAAATTCACAAATAAACTTTCTGTTACCTGTTTCTTACAGTGACTACAAAAAGTTAGAGCATAATAGGCTCTGGCTGGTGTGGCTCAGTGGATTGAGCACTGGCCAGCAAACCAAAGGGTCACCAATTCAATTCCCAGTCAAGGCACATGCCTGGGTTGTAGGCCAGGTCCCTGCAGGTGCGTGAGAGGCAACCAAACATTGATGTTTCTCTCCCACTCTCTCTTCCTTCCCCTCTCTCTAAAAACAAGTAAATAAAATCTTTTTAAAAAGCTAGAGTATAATAGACAAATGTCAGATTTTTAAGGTGCGTACTTCTGTAGGCTCGAGGCTGCTGTAGGCTAGAGGCTGAGGCAGTCCCTATAGCTGTGGCCACTTAGCCCCGAATGCTGCTCAGCCTCAGGCCAGGCCTGTGGCTGGTCCCCCTCTCTTCTTGCATCATAGTCTAAACTGACTTCTTGCCTTTTGGCACCTAGTTTGCATCCCTCTTTTAGCAACTGGCTCCCACTTTGGTTCCCTATTGCACTAATCTGCAATTTGGTTCCCTGCCTTGTCCTTTCTCTGGAGTTTCAGGGATCCCTTCCTTGTCCTTGGACCCCGCACATTCCCAATCATCACACTCCTAACTCTCTATTCTGCTTGTATTCTTGACAGTGAGAACACACATTCAGGACTTCTCATTTTTGAAGAGCTGGCACCTACCATAATGTCTGGTGTGGAGTATATTCTCAACAAGCCGTTGTTAAATAAATGAATGATGAATGAACTCTGGTGCTTCCTTCTCATTGAGTAGAGCTGGGTTTCCTTTCAAAAGCCACTTCCACCTTGGCTCCTCCCCCTGTGAACAGGGCTCAGGGAGTTAATGCTGTTCGTGTATGTTACTCTTGAATGAATTAACACAGGCACAGAGTTTGAAAAGCGCTGGGTAATTGGTATGTCCTGAATGGGGTTGTACAGGGTAAGTCCCAGACAAGTCGGTGTATGTGGTGCTGAAATTCACACTGTGGTGGCACTGCCATCACTAGGTTTTGAGGAGGGCGGCCTAGAGAAAGTGGCTCTTTTTGTTCTAACTGGTTGGTGCAGAGAGGGTCCTTTCTGCAATCCATCCTCCCCGTGGGAGAGCCAGTGGCCCGTGTGTGCTGGAAGAGGCCCCAGCACGGCCATCACTCCCACAAGGAAGTGGTTTAAGTCGGTTTTGGCAAGTGCAGCTCTTAAGGAACAGGCACTTGTGAAGGGGTGATCTACCATCACCTTTCTTGCTTCTTGTCAGTAAGACCCCAAAGCTTTGCTTGAAAGTACATAAAGACACACTTTACCAGAATGTGACTAACTCACATTTTTTTTAATTGTGTCCTTATGTTGAAGCCTTTTCCCCCCCAGGGGAGTGAGGTGAATGCTCTTAGCCTTGAAGAACACTCAGAAGGTTCTTTCAGAGGATTCCCTCAAAAGTAGCCTCTAGTCTACACGTGAAATCTAGGCATGTTGCAATTGAGGATAAACAACATACAGGGAGGCAGTTTGCCTTGTCTATAGACACTTCTCTGGGATGACCAAATATAGAGACATGCTTACTGCCACTCAAGAATGTCCTCTAACACAATGGTTAAAAGCACAGACATTGGAACCAGTTTGCCTGAATCCAAATCCTGGCTCTTGACATTTATTAGTTGGGTAAGGTAATTCTCATCTGCATAAGTTCTCATCTGTATAACAGTATAATAATGGTACCTACGTCTTAGGGTCTCTGTGGGGGTTAAAAAGGGTTAATATATTTGAACATTTAGAACAATGGGTGGCCATACTAAGTGCTGCATGTGTTAGCTCTTAGTGCTATTGTTTTATTTTCTGAGAGTGAAAACAAGGTATGCTTAATATGAAACATTCATTTTTCAGTAGAGATATGCCAGATATATATCATATTAATATAAACATTGGAAAAAATAACAGGATTTTAATCAAGAATATTTTCTGAAATTTGGGTTGAATGAGAATTCCACATTCTGTCCAATTCTTATAATAACACTTGTGATCTTCTGTTCATTCATGACCTCACTCAGGAAGTTCAATGTTGCTGCAAATATTACAAATACCGAACTGATGTTTCCTAATGTGGTGTTCTGCCCAGAATGCGGCAGGCCCCTTTCATGGCTCTGGCAGCTGGAATAAGAACTTGATTACTTCTGAGCTCCTGAAAACATGTTTGTGCTCAGCTGCAAAAGATGTGGTGTGAAGGAAAGTCCAACCATTTCCAGCCACATGGCTGCCCCAACCAAGACTTGAGAGAAATGGATACCTTAAAAATGAGAATAAAATATGCTAAAGTGCCAAGGAAAAGGCAATTCTTTGCCTACAAACTCCAAGTCTTCCAAGTTAAGATTTGCACTTCAACCAATTTTACTTGTTCACATGTCAAATTAAATTTTGTTTTACATAAGAAAGCATAAAAAGTTCCATTTACTTCATGTTTTTCTGAGTGCATCTGGTAGAAGAAAGGCATTTCCAAGAATGCAAATAAGAAAATGTATAATATTTTTTTCTTGCTAAAACTTGTTAACAGAATTTTCCTGATTTATATGTACAGAGTTAAACAATGGAACATAATCTGACTGCTGGGGAGAAATGATTCATCTGTTCATCCATCCATCCATTCTTTTGATGAATACTGATGATGAATGCCTCCTATGTGCCCGTGACAGGCATTGGAAAAATAGTAACAATACATCCATGATCCTTGCCCTCATGTTGTTTACAATTTAGAAACTTTAAATATATTATTTCTAATGTTCACAGTTCTCCACATTAGTCATTGTTATTTCTACTTTGCAGGCCAGGAATATAAGCCTTAACTTAAGCAACTTACTCATCATCACACAGCTCTTAACTGATAAAGCTGGGATTCAAATCCTAGTCCATCTTATTCCAAAAGCCAGGTTTAAACTAAAACAGGAACAGAATCAGAGAAATGGACATCACAGGGAGGGATTTCAGTGGGGAGTAGGAAGGGAGGAATGGGGGGAAAGGTACAGGGAAGAAGCAACATAATTAGCAGGCATAAAATAGACAGGGAGAGATAAAAAATGGTATAGGAAACAGAGGACTCAGAGAACTTATATGTACAACCCATGGACATGAACTAAAGGGGGAAGAATGCTGCAGGGTTGGCAAGGGCAGGGCAGAGGTGGGAGGAAGGGGGAAAACTGGGAAAATTGTAATAGCATAATCAATAAAACTGTAATAGCAAAATCAATACCCCCCCCCCCAAAGCCAGGTTTATTAGATTCTTTTTACTACACTGCACTGGCTTTAAATAATAAATGTGTTCTCAAAAGTTACAGATTTCAATGTTTTATGAAGCATATCATGGTTTTAGAAAGCTAGGGCTATTTCTGAAAAGCAATCACTTTTTCCCTTTTAATATACATCAGATTTATGTAAAGCAAGGAATGTCAGTAAATAGGACACTTGATCAAAGGGCTAGCATGTCTTCAGAAGATTAGTAAAATATAGCATTTATATTGTACTGATCTGAACTAGCTTTATACCAGACAATCTTGAACACGACCTGCAGACTCAGTGCCTGCCCTGGTGGCACAAATCTGGTGGTGTCATATACTGGCCATAGGACACGTTATATCAGCTTTCTGAGATTCTGTTTCCTCACCTATAAAACGGGGACATCATCACCTATCACATGGAGAACTATGAAGAGTAAATGGAGGAAAGTACATTTTTTAATGTTTAACCATGCTGGGTGGGCTTCAGTCTCTTTCTGTTCCCCCACATATGCACAACAGCTCTTCTGACAGTGGGCAGTAAAGTATATCTTTGTTTAGCACTTAAAGGCAAAAAAAATGCCTCCAATGAAATGTTCCAGAGCATGAAGATCACTAACTTTGATGCCCTGCTTGTGGCAAAACCTAGGACATAAATGAGGATTAGAAACTTTTAGGATATAGTTTCTAGATGATGCAAGTTTAGGGTGACTAAAGAAGGGTTTGAACAGATAATCGCTAAACCACCAGTAATCTTCCACTTAATGCAAAGTAGGTAAGGATATATATATATAAACACACTAATACATAGAGTGTAAGTATTCACTACCAAGACTTTAAAAACACATACCAAAACACATCCACTTAAAAGACTGTTTTGAAATGGTCACATTGAAAGCATACATATCTATTGCATTCATTCACTTAACTGAGGCTTACTGGGAGTTGGGTAAATTTGGCACACTGTGCTAGCACTGGGCATATGGTGATGAACAAAACAGCAGTGTCTTCTTCCTTCAAAATCAGTTTTGAAGTCCCACATGGAATCAGACAAATTATTGATAAGTAAATATCACTAAGAACATTTAGATCTGAGTGACCTTAGCCTGAGCTCATCATGGAGGTGGTCCTAGATCCCACTAACTAGGAGAAACCGATAGACTGGGCTTGTCTAAGAGGATCTACACAGTTAGCAGGGGAGTGCTTTCCTGACACAATAGAAAAAGTGCCTTTGGACTATGCCTGTGGCCCCAGGGGAGCATCTCACGTTTCCTGACCCTCATCACTGTTAATCATGATGATAAAAAAAGATTCCCTTTTCTATAGCCTCAGGGAAAAAAACCTATCCAAGTAATTTTTTTGAGATGACATTGTTTATCTTATTCAGGTTTTAAAAATATTTCTGATTTTTTTTTTTTTTTTTTTTGCCAATAACTAAGCCCTCTTTCCTCATGAGGACAACCTTGATTTCTGAAACTGTTCTCTTGACATTACTTGGGCAGTGGACATTATTTCCCCAGAAAAGTAAACAAAGGAACAAAAACAAGGTGACTCAAAGGATTAGGAAGTATGTTTTTCTAGAGAACAAAAGATCTTTTCACAGTATGTCAAAGACTTAACTGTGAACTTTCCTGAATGTAAACATTGTTCAAATGGCAAAAGGAATTTCATCTATGTCTATAAAAGATAGACATAGCACAATAGTTCTTGCTCGAAGCTACATTTGGCAGGCAATAAAGTAATCTTTTCTTGAATACTTCGCATACAGACTTACAAAACCTTTTTTATCATCTCAGGAGAGATACAACCACAATACCCTCATAATAGCAATAATAACACATAGATCAGAGTACTGCTAGAGACAACTTATGTCATAAATTATAAGTAACATCATTTATGCTTCGAGTCTTCAGGAATAAAGAAATGCTTTATGAGAAAGGTTAAAATATTAGGCTGATGTTTACATTTAGCATAAGAGTTTAAAACTAATTTTAAACACTAGATTAAAAAAACAGATTTTCTTATGATCATAGCAGACTATTAATATTTTAAATTGACAGGAATGATGAGATATTAGCTAAAATAAATATTTAACTTTTCCTACTTTAAAGTTTTATTCTCTTTTAAAATTTATTTATTGATTTTAGAGAGAGAAGAAGAGAGAGAGAAACATCAATGGGGTACCTCCCATACATGCCCCGACCGGGTTATCAAACTGGCGAACTTTTGGTTTACAAAATGACGCTTCATCCAACTGAGCCATGCAGCCAGGCTCAAGTTTTATTCTTCACAAACCTCCTAGTTATAATACATTTAAAATTAATATGGGTAATTGTGCTTATAATATTAAAAGAACTATATGCTATAACCAAATTATATAATAATTATGGAACGTCTGGACATCTTTCCTTACCTATCTACAAACTTTGCAGACATTTTATTGTCACCATTATCAGCTCAAATCCTACTGCAGCCAGCTGCTGGGTTCTCCCTT